TTTAATCTCAAAAAGCCACCCACATACATCTCCCTTATCACAACCCCCTTACCTGCTCGACCAAGGAATCTAACTTTTTTACCTAACCATGGCCTTATTTAAGATATGTAATACAGAAGAATTTCCTAGCTAATGAAGTTATGTATAAGCACCTTAATAGCAGAAATCATAATGTAGCTAGAGAGGAACTAAAATTAGGTTGGGATTCTGGAGTACCAAGGTACCTTCCCTGAGGATGTCCACAATCTAGTGGCATTAGAAGAAGCTGCTTATGTACTCACAGTGTTCCCACGAGGTCCCCACCACGAATCTCTGAGTCAGGAGGACTCTTTCTGGGATCCTCATTTGCGTGAGACCAAGAAGAGGTTAACTTGGGCGCAGCATCAGTGTAGAACCGATTCACCTTGACTTGATTTAGATTTTTTTTTTTTTTTTTGTAAAAACACAGTTTTGCCAGCCAGGCTGGAAATAACTTTCTGCTTTTTTCATCAAAAATCTTGCACACTCTCCCTAGAGGTCTTCTCTCCGGAGGACTTTTTTCCTCTTTCACTTCGGTTCTTGCATTCCATATGTAAGCAAAGTTCAACTAGTTAGGAAAAAGCCATCCTAGCGAAAAGACTCTGTAATTGTGAGGCCAGATGGAAAGCATTATTGGGCTGATGGGGTCGTGTAGATTGGAGGGAAGGTGTGGTAACATGATCTTGGTCTGCAGCTGTGACCTGTTGTTCCAAAACAACCTCCTTCCTCCCTGCCTTTTGCACCTACATTCCAGCGCCCCTCCCTCCAGCTCTGTGGGCACCCCCCCTCCCAGATTGCTTTGGCAGATGTATAAGAAAGGCACTAAGCTTGTTCAAGGAAGAGCGACCTGTGGCTATGTTTTGAATACCTCCTTCCCGTGTTTCTTGTAATGGCAGATCAGGTAGAGTGCGAGCACGTTAGGGCAGAGCTTCCCAGAACTCCAGCTGTCGTGTGCCTGTGGTGACATTTATCATCTGGGAGTCTGGCAGGTGCCTCACACGAGACACCTGTAAAACCAGCGTCATCATCAACTACCTGTTCACCTGCCCTGCCTAAACACCAGTCAGCATTGTCTCCGGTTTCCTCTCTCAGCAAAAGGTAGCATCATCCTTCCTTCGCCCAAACTGAAAAATCTAGGACCCATCATCGCCCATTTCTTCTTCCTTGTGCTTCTCATGGAGGGTAGCTCCTACATACTTTTCCAGTGCCTTTCTTTCCAATGCTGCTGCCCTAATTCGGGCCCTCTTTATTTCTCTTCAAGCATGTGGGAATGTCTGGTTCTTTTGCCTTTATTTTCATCATTTTCTCTCTCCTCTCTCTCACTGATGTTGTAACCTACATGAACATCTGACTGCCAACACCAATGAAGTTAAAATCTGTGAGGGGGAGAGGCAGGTGAAGATCATGACTTCTCATAAGCTTTTCAGGCTGTCGTCATGTGTGGCTAGGGTTAAGAACCAATGTTGGATTGGCCTATTTTGTATGACTTAGCCAGATACACAAGGCCTTCATGACCTGGGATATTTCATCTTCTGCCACTTTTGTTTCCAGCTTTACAATAAATAATAATAAACTGCTGTAGTTCTTATTATCATATCCCTGCAGGTGTCCCAAGTGGCATCTCAACTACTTCACCAGATGCCTATCCAAGTCACCAGCCCATTTGAGTCAATGCCACTGTCAGTGGCAGTAGGTGGTAGCACATGGAAGAGAGCTTTTACAGGCTGTGGTCCAACATGATCCTCACCGTGTCCTGTGGGGTAGGCAGGGAACGATGATCTCCCCATTTTGCAGATGCTGAGACAGAGGTTTGGCTTTTCACTCTGATGGGTGACAGATGATCACGATACAGGTATACAGCCGGCTCTCTGCAGACGTGTGATGATAGGATCCCTGATGTACATTTCAAGTCCCACAACCCCACCGATGATTACTTACTATTTAAGGCTTATTTTTTTAAAATATTTTATTTATTTGAGAGGTAGAGTTACAGACTGAGAGAGGGACAGATAGAGAGAAAGGTCTGCCATCTGCTGGTTCACTCCCCAAATGGTGGCAACGGCCAGTGCTGGGCCAGACGGAAGCCAGGACCCAGGAGCTTCTTCCACGTGGGTGCAGGGGCCCAAGGACTTGGGCCATTCTCTGCTGCTTTCCCAGGCCATAAGCAGAGAGCTCGATTGGAAGAGGAGCAGACGGGCCAGGAACTGGTGCCCATATGGGTTGCCAGAGCCACAGGCAGAGGCTTAGCCTACTGTGGCACAGTGCCAGCCCCCAGGTGTATTTTGTTTTTAGAAGCTCATGATGGCGGGAATCAATAATTTGAACAAACATGATTTCAGAGTTTTTTTTTGTTTTGTTTTGTTTTTTTTTTTACTTGGTTTAGGAGCATAATCAACATGGAATCTTCCTGGTTCTACTCTCCCTTCTGTAGAACATCCTCATCTTTTGGTCAGTTTGCTTCTTGATACCTGTGTGATAGAGAAAGGAAGGCAGAGGAGGGGAGAATTCCACACAATGGGTTTTAGGTGTAGGCTCCTGAGTCGTGTATGGTGAGTCAGTGAAAGAATCCCATCCGGTCATGCAGATCCAGACACGGTGTTGGGGCTGTGTGGTTGAGCCTAATTATGGTGCTGAACACAGTCCCTTTCGGTAAAGCAGGAGGGAGAGGCCCCGGAGTTCCTCAACGAGGCGGCCACATGTGCTTGCTCCTGTGTCAGGCTTGTGGTGTTGCCCACTTCCTGTCTGCAATCTCGCAAGACTCCTTGCATTTTTTGCTCTAAAAGTGAGGCCCATAGGCTGATTTGACCATGACTCTTTTTTTTGGAAAGATCACGCTCTTTTTGAATTTTAACATTGGGACAGATCTTCTTAACAACAAATGACTGGATTTGAATTATCTCACTTTTGAACAAAGCAGCTGGAGCAAGTATGTGAGGGTCAGGGTATTCCCTTCTGGAAGGAGAAGAAAGATCATTTTATTTAGAATTTATCTGTTGAGATGCTTGTTGCGGGTATCTAATCAAGCTCTGAGTTTGAACTCAATTAGAGCTTTGATAAAAGAAAGGGGAAAGGAAACTTGAAAGAATGCTTTCCCATTCATGAAGGGCCCTGTGTGTTTTAGTTTCCAAGTAAATGGAATAATGGGACCATGCATTTTCCATCCAAGCATTTTCCACCCTGAGAATAATTCCCTTCCTGGCTTCTCGATGAATAATGCATTATTTCTGAAACCCAAGAGGCATTTCTTTGATTTTCCTTTATGTTTAGCTTTCTGAGTGATTTTCAAGCAAGGAAATTCAAGGACTTGGAATGAATGCTTTATTAACATTCTTATTGAAGTTCAGAGAGCTGCTTGGCTATTATCCCCTGATATTCGAAATATTTTTTTCTCTCTAAGGAAAGTCTAAGGTATTGTATTTATTAGAAAATGAAGCACCTTGGACAGTCTTCAAAGTGAACAGCAGTTTAAAACCAATACACATTTCTGTTGTAGAACAAAGAGCTTTATGGGGGTACTTTTCTCCTTGCTTTATTTTCATTTCCCCGCTGAAAAGGTTCAAAAAAGAAAGCTCACATTTGAAACTGGGCTGTTTGGAGACTAAGCCTTGTTTGTTTACATTTTGTGAAACTCATTCCTTGAGGCTAGTCCAAATCCATGACCCCAAGCCAGGTCTCCATCCACCAAGGCTAGCACCATTTGAATCTAAAAGTTCAAATAAACTTTTGGGATCAACCCTATACCCCTTCATCCTTCTGGGGCCATCAGATGAGGCATAAAGGGACATGGTGGTACCTCCTTGTCCTTGGCCAGTTCTGTCTTTCCAGTGTTGAATCTGCCGCTGATCCTGGGGTAACATGGTAGTACGTTTTAATGCCATTTTATGGCCACAGTTTTCTCTGGGATCCAAATGATGAATGATTTCAAGAACCAAACATAATGGAATTAACACAGTCTCTCTGTCTGTTCCTACAATTGTAGTAAAATCTTAATTCAGAATAGTTGAAGTAAAGAACATTGATCCAAATTAGTAAAACCTCTGAAACATAAAATTCGGCTTACAATATTTCAAGAAGTGAAAATGCAGTGTTGTATTTTCTGTAGTGTGGACTATGGAACAGAAATTCCTGGAGGATTTGTCTCCAGCATCTACTTGTCAGGGCCATACCCTTGAGCAAGTCACGTAAACTTGGTATGTCTCAGTTTCTTCAGGACAATGATAATGGCACTTTCTGTTCACATAAATTTGTGAAGATCGAGTTATTATTTGTAAAGTATATACCTTGTGTGAGCAATTGTTGAATAAAAGGAAAACACATCTTTTGTTGAGAATTGCTGTTTCCAAATGGGCCCCTGCTGCTGAGCTTGGAATGACAATACTATTACTGTTGTTGTTAAGATACCAAGTAACTCCCCGCCCCCACCCCACGCCCATTTAAATCCTAAAACAAAACTCAGAAGCTGTGTGTCATCATCTCTGTTTTTCAGATGAGTATTCTGACGTGAGAAAGTAACTTGGCTAAGTTCACCCAGTTTCTAAGTGGCATAGCAAGGATTTGAATCCAAGCAACCTGAATCCAGAAACTGTGCCTCAATGACACATTAAAGAACATTTACCATTAGTGCTTATCCTTTGCCTGACAATAGCTATTTGCTGTTATAAACCATGTCTTTGTAAGAGGGGAAATGTGTCCCTGAATACAGTTTTTCATGTCTTAAATGCTTATCAGACTTTTCGTGTTTTGCTCAAAATGATCGTCAGTATCTCCTAAGTACTTAGTTTTAGTAGGATCCGAATGGATTTTTATTAAGTTGATTATTTGATCACTAGGGTTTTTTTCTGATCCTCTCAGAAAACGGGCATTGCATGTGCACTGATGGTTTGTGTTGGACTGGAATCATTTTGCATTATGGTGGCTGACTTCATAACGATGTCTTCCGTTCTCTTTCTCCTTTGAATCTTCCTGATCCCTATCCCGTGCAGGTGCCTTTATCATCTGCTGGACTCCTGGTTTGGTCTTGTTACTGCTCGACGTGTGCTGTCCACAGTGTGACGTTCTGGCCTATGAGAAATTTTTTCTTCTCCTTGCTGAATTCAACTCTGCCATGAACCCCATCATCTACTCCTACCGCGACAAGGAGATGAGCGCCACCTTCAGGCAGATCCTCTGTTGCCAGCGCAGCGAGAGTACCAGCGGCCCGGCCGAAGGCTCAGACCGCTCTGCCTCCTCCCTCAACCACACCATCTTGGCCGGGGTCCACAGCGATGACCACTCCGTGGTGTAGGAAGCGAACTGAGACGAAGAGCCGGCCGTCCTCTTCAGATGGACGAACAGCCTCTCCCACTTCCCTGCCAGGGCAAGGTGGCGGAGTGGCGAGGAGCGAGCAAGCTCATGTACTTAAACACTAACCAATGGCAGTATTTGTTCCCAGCCCCCACAAGACTTGATGTGTTGAAGATTAGCTTATGTGACAACCCTCGTCCCGGGCTCCCTCCCTTCCGAAAGTGGAAAATGGAGTTCTTGCAATGGATTCAGGAACAGACTCTGGAGTATCCATCTAGACTACACTAACTAGACTTGAAATGGTTTTGTGTGCTTTGGTGCAAGTCAGAATAAATTCTGACAAGTTGAATCCACAACTTCATTTACATACAGGCTTCCTTTTTTATTTTTAAAGGATACATTTCATTTAATAAACATATTTATGCCTATCAGCATGTCCGTGATGCTATAGCCTATAGACTGTTGTTAAACTACCGTAATTTCATTTTTTCCTTATGTAGGAAAACTGTAAATTAGAATGGTTTTCTGTTTAGAAGGCATACATGTAATGTGTATATGCAGTATGCTTTACTTAAAAAGATAATAGGGTACTAATTTTAAATCTTTTAAGAAATAGAAGAACCTAGATGTCAAAGCCAGTATTTGTGTAGGTTATGAAGCAAATATTGCTCTAATCACGATATTACCTTTTTATTCAAGTGTTGTAACAAGTATAAAATAAACAGGGAATGTAATTTGTTACCAAAAGAATTTGTATTCTTAAAAATGTAGTAGAAGATGGAGCACAGTAATATTGTTCCTACGTATTGAAAATACCCAAATGCATTCTAATTGGAGCACTTCATGAGCCTAATACTCCCAGAAACCTACGGGACATCAGAGGAAATTTTTTAACACCCTGTTTCTGAATTAATAAATTCATACATGGTAGAAAACTTGGAGAACACAGGAATGTATAAAATTGATTTCCAAATAATATCACAACCCAGAAGTAACCACCTTTAACAGCTTCTCTCCCATATATGTCTATGTGTATATCATATACAATTTTTTGTATACGTGGGATCATATCATAAACCGTTTTAAAACAAGTTTGTCTTTTCACTGAAGAATTGCCACATTTTCCTATGGCATTAAAATTTTTACAAAAACATGATTTTAATGGCTCCATAATATTCCATTTAATGGATACAACCCTATTCATGTAACCGTTCCCATGTATTGTTGACTATTTAGGTTATTTCTAATTTTCACTAAAGCTGCAAAAAGTTTGTGTACATAAAAATTTGTCCATGTCATTGATTGTTTACTTAGGTCATATTCCCATGAAGGATTTTTTTTTTAAATGTGAAATGTCTTCTTAAGCTTTTTACCTTTTATCAAAAGGGATTTCCCGCTTTTGCACTCATGGTTGGCAGTTGTGAGGAAAGCCAGTTAAATTACCTTTTTAACAAAGGAAATGCAGCGGTTACTTTAGTTGAAAGTGACTCTTTAATAAAACAAGATGGACTAGAAATAGTCAGCTGTCATAATAACCAAGACCCCCTACTGCATCTAGCAATTCCAAATTTCATGTGAGGGACCAGTTATCCAGTTCTTGGTTACCACAAGAGTAATACAGAATTGTAGAAGATGTAAAGACATTGAACATGCCAAGTAGAAAAAGGATTGGTGTGATAAATGGCTTGGGTGTTTCAGTAGCTGGAGGGGTTGAGTAAGTCAGTGTGTAACAGGCTACTGTGTGTTCCCCCAGGAAGTACTCTTGAGAGACTGGCACCATGAGAGGTGATGCCTGTTTAATGCATGGTCCAGGTAGATCAGTGATTGCTTGTATCCAGGAAGGGGCAGTCTTGAAGCAGGTTTGGGGAGGTCAGAAGGATGTCGGAGAGAAAGAAACCAGGAAGAAGAATGACTGGCTGTCTAGAAAGGAAGCTGGTGCATGGTTCGCGATTGAGCAGGGGGCAGACTTGCCAAGAGCCCACGGTGGAGAGAATGGGGAACTGGGTGGTGAAAAGATGTTTGTGCATGCTTTCTACAAAACACTGAACGCGCTGTGTTGGACGTGACAGAAATGAACCTGGACTCTTGCTGATGTGCATAGTTTCTGGGGGCGATGTGAACTATTTGAAATTAAGAGCATACTGAATGGACCTTAATAAATCATTGTCAATCAGTGTTTAATAATGTGTGCTTCTGGTCAATTTGAGAGTCTCCTGGCTTGCATTGCCTGGTCTTCCCTCTGTGAACTCCTTTATTTTCCTGCTGTCATGGCTGCTGAACTCTGAGATGTGAAACAACTGTATGTTCCCCCAGCCCAGACCTGCTTGTTGCAGCCTGGCTAATGAGTCTCTTGGGTATCTAAGGGAGAGTGGTTGAGGCTCCGTGAATGGAGGGGGTGTGCGCTGGGACAGTGCTCCACCTCAACAGGACAATGATCAGAGTGAGGTTGCTTTTGAAAAACTGACTTTATAGAAACTTACAACATTATGAAAAGCTCTTGCTAGGAGTTTATAAAGCTAACAAGATAAAAGGGAACTGTATTTTACAATTATATGTTGGAATACGATAAAATATTTACTTGAGACTGTCGCAGTGAGTACTTGGGAGAGAATTCTGAACCTCTAAATGTAGAAGGATGTGAGGTTTTAGAAATCAACTGATACTGAACCCATCTGGGCAGTATTCGCCCCTTATATAGTCCCTTTTATAAAATTAGTGAAATTATAATTCTTAGGTTCAAAATCGCACCTAATATCTGTTATACAATTAGTGAGTCTTTTTGGCCTTCCCTTTGTATTTCACCAATTAGATAAGGCTTGAGGTCCCATTGCTCATCTTCCTTCTAATGTGTTCCTGTAGTCTCTCAGCTTCTGAAATATTGTGATTTTTTGAATACTGCTTCTGGCCTCTTCCCTGAAGCCCAGACTATGCACTTGTACTCTGTAAAAACTAGAAACACTTACTTCAAATCCCTTCATTATGCAAGTTAAGCAGAACATTTTTATGTTAAGATCTTTTAAAACAGATTACATTTTTCTTTAACACCAAGTGCACATCACCTGATCCCAAACCTTCATGAGAATTCATGCTTTATGGATTAAGATTGGGTGGCTTCTAAGTGAGATTGGGTTTCGACAGAAGAAACAGGAGCAACTGGAGCCACAGCGTGTCATGAATCTACTAAGCAGGGTCCATTCCTACTCCAGTGATCATCTGCCTCTTGATAGTCAGTGTAGCAAATTCTGTTATTCTCCCCTTAAGGATTAATGGCCAAATCCACCTATTTTTACATGATCTAGGAGCTAAGGATGGGTTTTGCATGTTTAAATGATTGGGAAAATATTTTGCGACTCATGAAAATTATATGAAATTCTAATTTCAGTGTATCAATGGTTTTATTGGAACACTACCATATTTACAAGTTTATATGCCAGTCGTAAGTAAAGCCATTTTTAGACAAGAATTGCTGCTTAATTCCACAACTCTGATTAAGTGTTTACTTTGTTTAAAATTAAGTAGGATCGGGGCCGGCACCATGGCGCAGTAGGTCAATCTTCCGCTTGCGGCACCGGTATCTCATATGGGCGCCAGTTCTAGTCCTAGCTGCTCCTCTTCCAATCCAGCTCTCTGCTATAACCTGGGAAAGCAGTAGAAGATGGCCCAAGTCCTTGGGCCCCTGCATCCACTTGGGAGACCCGGAAGAAGCTCCTGGCTTCAGATCAGCTCAGCTCTGGCCATTGCAGCCATTTGGGGGAGTGAACCAACAGATGGAAGACCTTCTCTGTCTCTCCTTCTCACTGTAACTCTTCCTCTCAATAAATAGATAAAATCTAAAAATAAATAAGTAGGATTAACAAAAGCCAACATCAAGTCCTTTGAATGATTTACCAATATCATTTTGCATCTTCTGAATAGTCTTGCTTAACTTTAGGAAGATTTTTAGTAGCACTACTTTGCTGTTTCGGTAATATGCTCTGCTGCTTACAGAAAGCATTCATATTATGTGTAGTTTGGCCCTGGGGACTGTGTGATGGTGTAGCAGGTTAAGATTCTACTTGCAATGTAGGCATCCCATATTGGCAGTGCCAGTTTGAGTCCCGGCTGCTTCCAATTCAGCTCCTTGCTCATGCGTCTGGTAAAGGCAGCAGAAGATGGTCCAAGTGCTTGGGTCCCTGCTGCTCATGCCAGAGATCCGGATGGAATTCCTGGCTCTTGGCTTTGGCTTGGCTCAGACCTGTGTTTTGCTGGCATTTAGCAGATGGAATCATTTTTTTAAAGATTTATTTATTTGAAAGAATTACACAGGGAGAGAAGGAGAGACAGAGAGAGAGGTCTTCCATCCGATGGTTCACTCCCCATTTGGCTGCAACGGCTGGAGCTGTGCCAATCCAAAGCCAGGAGCCAGGAGCTTCCTCCGGGTCTCAATGTGGGTGCAGGGGCCCAAGGACGTGGGCCATCTTCTACTGCTTTCCCAGGTCACAGCAGAGAGCTGGATCAGGGGTGGAGCAGCTGGGACTCGAACTGGTGCCCTTATGGAATGCCTGCACTGCAGGCAGCGGCTTTACCTGCTACGTCTCAGTGCCGGCCCCAGCAGATGGAATCTTAGTTTCTCTCTTTATCTGTCACTCTGCCATTCAAATAAATAAATACTTTTTAAGATTTTTTTTTGTATTTTGATCCTTGTGATGATTCTGTTACACATGAAGAAACAATCAGGAAAAAATGGGAGTCTGATCTTTGTAGCTTAGCATTTTATGCCTAATTGCTTACTCTTTCTACTGCATCTGATATTTCCTTATATATATCTTGATATCTAGGCTCTGGAAACAAATCATGAATTCTTTAAAAAGAGATACAATGTATCTGATATGAATTTTATTTTCAAAGAGTGCTCTTATCTCTTTGTTCACTTCCCAAATGCCTGTATCAGCCAGGCTGATGGGCCAGGCTGAAGCCAGGAGCTGAGAATTCAGTCCCATCTCCCATGTCTCCCATGTGGGTAGCATGAACCCAGTCACTTGAGCTGTTATCTGTTGTGTCCTAGGTCCTGCATTGGCGGGAAGCTGGAATCAGGAGCTGGAGCAGGGTATTGAACCCCATATTCCTGCATGGGATGGAGGTGTCTTAACTGGTATTTTAACTGCTAGGCTAAATGCCTGCCCCCTATGTATTATTTTAATCCTTCAAAGAACATAGCACAGTTAAAGTTATAGAAGAGAATTTATTATCAAGAATGGGTGCATGAACTGTCTTGTGAGTGTTATTGTGTGCATGCATAAATGCCAGGCTAGGTAATAAGTTCTGGTTTATTATTATTATTATTTATTAGAAAGTTACACAGAGAGAGGAGAGGCAGTGAGAGAGAGCTCTTCCATCCGATGGTTCACTCCCCAATTGGCTACAATGGCTGGAGCTGCACCAATCCAGGAGCCAGGAGCTTCTTCCAGGTCTCCCATATGGGTGCAGGGCCCAGGGACTTGGGCCATCTTCCACTGCTTTCCCAGGCCACAGCAGAGATCTGGACTGGAAGAGGAGCAACCGGGATTAGAACTGGCACCCATATGGGATGCCAGCGCTTCAGGCCAGGGCGTTAACCCACTGCGCCACTGCACTGGCCCCATTAATAAGTTCTTTGAGAGCAAGGTAACCTTGTGCTTTTCAGCTCCTTTTTATGATTGAAACGACTGGAACAAAACAAGAAATATGGTACCATCTATTAAATGGTTCTTAATTGAGAATTATAAGGTCTAGACCTAATTATAATTAGGTCTTATAGTTGTTATCACTATCACTCATTCTTTGGTTTATTCACAAATATGGTAAAAAAAATTTTGTTTTCCTTTTTTGAGAGACAGAGAAAGGTAAACCAAGAGATAGTGCGCTCATCTACTGGCGTACTCCCCAAATGCCCACAATGGCCAGTGTTGTACCAGAACTGGGGCCAGGAGCCAGAAACACAATCCAGGTCTTCCACATGGAAGAGGAGACAGGAACCCAGTTACATGAGCCATCACCTGCTGCCTTCCAGGATCTGCACTGGCAGGAAATTGGAATCAGGAGCTGGAGCCAGGGATTGAACCCAGGCATTGCAATGTGGGATGTGGTGTCTTCATGCTAAGCTAAATACCTGCTCCCACAAGTATGTTCTGAAAGCCCTCTGCATGTCAGACCTTTATGATATTGTGAATGATGTGCAGGAGATTTAGGATTTAGCAGAAGTGAGGGAAAAAAGTTCAAAGCAAAATTCTAAGAGTTAACGAGGGAAACAATGGCATGACACAGAAATGTCTCAGAAAAGAAACTGCCCCTCCTAAGCCCTTCATCTTAAACCTGAACTTCTACAGAGATGTGATTCTTTCCTATTTTAAAAAAATCATTTGAAAGGCAGAGTTACAAAGACAGAGGGAGACACACACACACACACACACACACACACAGAGAGAGAGAGAGAGAGAGAGAGAGAGAGAGAGAATCTTCCATCTGCTTGTTCACTCCTCAAATGACTGCAACAGCCTGTGCTGGGCCAGACTGAAGCCAGGAGCCAGAAGCTTCATACAAGTCTCCCAAAGTAGGTGCAGGGGCCCGAGCACTTGGGCCATCCTCTGCTGCTTTTCCAGGTACACTAACAGCAAGCTGGATTGTAAGTGGAGCAGCTGGGACGTGAACCGGTGCCCATGTCGGATGCCAGTGTCACAGGTAGTGGCTTTACCCACTATGCCACAGCACCAGCCCCAGGGTGGTTCTTTCAAGCTCCTGCATTTGCAGCCACTTTGTTTATCAGTGCACATCAAAGAACAGTTTAGGAAAACAGGCGTGCATGCAGTAGGTGCAGACTGGCATTTCTGGCAAGATGTATCAATAGTTGGAAACAGAAGGTGTGCCACCTGGGGAAGAAGAGCAAGAACAGACTGTGAGAATGCGGTTTGAAAGGCAGGTCGGCTTGATGACCAGAGTGACCGGAAGTCATTTTGTCCTAGAGAGTTGTGAAGAATGAATTAAAGGATTTGAGTCAAAAAGCGGTCTGGGGGGGGGAGGGGCCTGCGCTGTGGTGCAGTGGGTTAACGCCCTGACCTGAAGCACCAGCATCCTATATGGGCGCTGATTCCAGACCCAGCTGCTCCTCTTCAGTCCAGCTCTCTGCTGTGGCCCTGGAGGGCAGTGGAGGATGGCCCAAGTGCTTGGGC